AAGAGGATAGTGTCATACAAGTAGACAACTTCATGAACTCATTTGACAATACAAAAGAAGTTATTAAGGAGTTCAATTACAATCCAAACATATCTATCAACACAATATGTTGTAATGATACTGAACTAATACATTGTATTAATATATTGGACTCTGGTGCAAATGTACACACTACTCCATACTTGTTCTGTCTTACAAACGTTTGGAACTTGACCCTAATAAACGTTACAATTGTGAATAAATTGTCATTCACACTTAGCAAAAGTGGAGTGATGACATTTAACATAAAACTATAAGACAAAACTAATGAGTATACTAAGGTGAATATGATTTCACTACAAAACGTATACTATCATCCTAATCTGAACTTTACACTTGTTAGTGAAGCACTATTATACAAAGCAGGATATGTTTTAACAAAAACAAACAATGAATGTATTATTTATTCTCCTGCTCATACAAAGATTGGTGAAATACATGTACAAAATAACTTGTATATAATAGTTTCTCATCATAATAAACAATCTATTAATGCAATCACTATTGTTGATTTACATCAACAAATGGGTCATGTTAATTTTGATTACTTGCACAAACTCATACAAGAGTATCCTAAGATTATAAGTCAAAGGATAACAGACAATAAAAATGTACAGTGTACAGATTGTATTAAAGCAAACATACAATGTAATGAAATACTAAAAATACAAACAACACCTCTTGCACAATCCTATAGAGATCATCTCCATATTGATATTTGGGGACCTGCCCCAGTACAAGCTTACAGCAAGTACGAATATCTTTTTACCATTGTAGATGACACTACACAATGGGTAACTATACTACCTATGTGGCATAAAAGCAATGCTTTTACTGAATATGTAAAGCATACAACAAAACTCTTTACACAGTACAGTATAAGAGTTAAAACTCTCTAAAGTGATAACAATACAGTGTTCCTAAGTAAAGACTTCACTACATACATTGAAAGTCAAGGAACAATATGTAGACTAACAGTACACAATACACTGTAGCAGAACAGAGTTGCAGAATGTATACATAAGACTATCTTTAACAGCATATGTATGTGTCTGTTATCAGCAAAGTTACCTATGAAATTCTGGGTATATACAGTACAATATCAAACGTTTATTCATAACAGAACACTAAGAGTTACTATCAATTTCACAATGCCATATTACAAACAGTATAACAAACATTATCAAATAGATAATATATGAGAATTCAGTGTATATTGTATCATACAGAACAAACAAATGTATAAACTACAACCTAGAGGCCAACACACACAATGGCTAGGTTATGATAATGATAGTAAAGGTCACTTAGTGTGCCATGATAATAAAATTACTGTCAAACACAATGTACAATTCATAGACAAACTAATGTCTAGGA